CCAAATTACTCTCAGTACTCTTGGGGCTGGCGCGATTCACCACTGATGCGCCAGGGTCGCCTTGCCTTTTTCTTCTCCTATCTTCATCTCGTATGTGTTCCTTTGAATCGTGTCTTCACTCTCTTCTTGATAATAAATCTTAAAGTCTTCATTAATCCTTGAGAGATCTTACTTATTCTACTCACATGTCTTCATTTACATTCCAAATTAACATAATATAAGAGGAAAGTTTAAAGGCTCTATTTCATAAAAACTTAAGAGCTTCAAATGTTATTTGTATATATGTATACATGTATCTATGTTGATTATTGGGCTTGAAAGATAGGTTCATGAGTGCATTTTATAACAATGCAAATACGTCTAATGTTTTGAAAAGTACTTTAATAAAGTAAAAAGTCCATTATTTGAAATGGGTGAATTGAGAATAAAGTTATATTGATTATTTTGGGAGTAATATCAAGCACTGAATTGGGTTATAGTCTTTTATAACTTGGAAAACCCATTAAACTACATAGCCAATGTAGGATAGGATAGCATTGATTCTTCATACGACTCCGCACTGCCTCTAAGAAGACCTATTTGATGGATCCATATTCAAAATATCATCACATACCCCGACAAGGTATAGGATTGCCCTCGCAACATTGGCAAAACGTTGTATCATTTCTAGGCTCATAGTAATGGTTGTCGGTTAGGGAAACTTCCCACAAGTAAAGTATATATGTTTTTTTCATATTGCTTTTATTACATATGTTATTGTGAAGCTTAAAAGTTTTTCACTCCATATTCATATATCGATTCAATTATATTGCTTTCAGTCATTCAGGTTAGTTAATTGTTTACTCTAGCCCTATAACTTACTAGTGTACTGACGTCATTCGCCCTACATCTTATTATGATGCAGATACAGGTTCTTAGGATCATCACAAGGTGCTTCGTTGAGATCACTATTCACTGACATACAATATTTGGTGAGGCCTCCTTGCTTTCGGGGAACTCCATTTTCATTCAACTTAGTAGTATTGGAGGTGTCATAGGTCTTGTCTCGATATCTATCTTACATTGTTAGACGCTTCATAGACAAACATGATTTGATGTTTCCATTGTTTTCTCAGGTTGTTTATTTAACTTATGACTTATATTAAGTATTTGCAAGATATTTTAAGACTTTCTTTAATGCTTAAATGTTCATCTAATTTAAGCTTTCGCGTATTGCTTATAGTCATGTAAGTCATGTAGCCAGTCCAAGGGTTCGCTTGGTGATCAGAAATGATTCTTGAGTGCCAATTACGTCCAGGGTGTAGGCCCAGGTCCTGAAAACTTGGAATCAGAGCACAAAGTTCAAGAGTCCTAGGGTATCTATGAAGACACATGTGTCTGTAGAGCCCTTGTTATCGGTGTGAAGCGCGCCACATCTATAATTGGGAAGCTACAACATTTAGGAAAAAATTCACTCTCTTGTCACTCCTTTTCGTGCAATAGAGTTCAACTCTATGAAAATTTTTTCCTAACTTGTGCTTACGCGTATCTTTCGGATCATTCCTCTACAAAGAGTTGTTCGAGGACATCCTGCTAGGAGAAATGTTAATCCTCACGATCAAAAGGTTCCCAATGCTCGAAGAAATCATTCCCATCCTTGACTTAAGTGTTGATAGCACATGTTGGTCACCAAGGAGGTGAACATCAGGATGGGAATGATGCATCTAGAGTCCAAGAATTTTTGAGAACGAGTCCCCTAGAATCTACTGGATCAAAGCTCAATGAGGGATGAACTTTAGAAAGTGTTTGAGGTCATGCATGTTGTTGATGTCAAGTGTGTGGAGTTTGCGACATACCAGGTCAAAAGTATTGCTAGGATATGGTATGATTAGTGGGAAAAAAAGAGGGCAACATGGGAACCACTGTTGAGTTGGTTGTGTTCGAAGATGCTTTTTGTGGGCGCTTGTTTCCTCGAGAGCTAAGGGAAGCCAAGGTAAGAGAGTTTCTTAATCTGAAGCAGGAATATATGGGTGTACAAGAGTACAACCTCAAGTTCACTCAATTATCCTGCTTTGCTCCTGAGATGGTGGCGGATATGATAAGTAGAATGAGTTTGTTCTTTTCTTGACTATCCCGCTTATTTAGTAAGGAAGGTAAGACGACTATGTTGATAGGATACATGGACATGGCCAGGGTTATGATTCATCTGCAATAGGTTGAGGAAGACAAGTTGAAAGGTAAGGAAGAGTTCCATAGCAAGAGAGCAAAGACAACAAGTCATGAGTCCGGCCACCAGAAAACTGGGGATATGAACCGATCATCCTTTCAGCAAAGGTCGTCTGGACCTGCTCCATCATCAGCTAATGCACCTGTACCAAGGGGCAAAATGATTATAGACTAGAACTCTCAAAATTTTAGAGTTCAAGGCTCTCAGTCGCAGCACAGTGTAGCACAAGGGTTCACTCACAACCCATTATGTGGTAAGTGTGGTAATCTCCATCCTAGAGAATGTCGTGTTGGCATTGATGTTTTCTACAAGTGTGGAAGTACGAGTTCACTTTTTTAGGGAAGAACCTAAGAACCGGCAACGTAATGATAATGGGGGCAATAGAGCCCCATCTTCTTCCACGGCCCTGGTAGATAGAGCTGCTCCAAGATGAGCTACTTCAGGGACAAGCGGAGGAGAAAACTGTCTGTATGCTATAACCAATCACTAAAAGCAGGAGAATTCACCAGATGTTATCACGGGTATGATCAAAATCTTTACTTTTGATGTGTATGCATTACTTGATCCAAGTGCAAGTCTATATTTTGTGACTCCGTATATAACTATAAGGCTTGATATTCTTCCCGAATAACTTCTTGAGCCTTTCAGTGTGTCCACACCTGTTGGAGATTCTATTCTAGCAAAAAAAGTTTATCGTGATTGTACCATCTCTGTCAATTACAAGGGTACCATGGCGGACTTAATCGAGCTAGATATAGTGGACTTTGGTGCTATTTTAGGTATGGGTTGGCTTCATGGTAGTTATGCCTTAGTTGATTGTAGAACTCAAGTAATCAAGTTTTAGTTTCTTAATGAGCCTGCTTTAGAGAGGAGGAGTAGTACAACAATGCCAAAGGGCATTTTCATCTCATATGTTAAGTCCAGAAAGTGAGCTTCTACATTGTGCATTTATCACTTCGTCCGAGTTAGTGACTCTAGTTTTGAGACACTGCCTATTAAATTAGTTTCATTTGTGAGTGAATTTCCAGAGGTCTTTCCAGATGATCTTCCCGGAGTCCCTTTCGAGAGAGAAATTGATTTCAAAATAGACATCCTTCTTGATACTCGACCTATCTCTATTTCACTATATATAATAGCTACAGATCAGTTAAAAGAGTTAAAAGAGCAGTTGAAAGATCTTCTTGATAAAGGTTTTATTTGGCCTAGTGTCTCACTTTGGGGGACCTCCGGTCTTATTTATGAGAAAGTAATATAGTTCTCTTAGAATGTGTATCAATTACCGCTTGTTGAACAAGGTCACCATAAAGATTAAGAATCCCCTCCCGAGAATTGATTATCTTTTTGACCAACTTCAGGGTGCCACTTGCATCCCTAAGATATACCTTAGATCTGGCTATCATCAGTTAAAAGTAAGAGAAAGTGACATCCTGGAGGCAATATTCAGAACCCATTATTGTCATTATGAGTTTCTTGTCATATATTTTGGCTTGACTAATGCGCCTGCAATATTCATGATCTTATGAATAGAGTGTTTAAGCAATATCTCAACATGTTTGTTATCATTTTCATTGATGATATACTGATTTATTCGAGGAATGAGAAGGATCATGCTAGTCATCTTAGAATAGTCCTCCAAACTCTCAAAGATAGAGAGTTGTATGCTAAATTTTCTAAGTGTGAGTTTTTTGTTAAGTCAGTGGCGTTGTTAGGCCACATTGTATGTGGTTAAGGGATTTGAGTTAACACTCAAAAGATTAATACTGTGCAGAATTGGCCCAGACCTACATCACCAACTGATATAAGGAATTTCGTGGAATTGGCTGGTTACTATAGAAGGTTCGTCGAGCAGTTTTCATCTATTTCAGCCCGGTAGATTAAGTTGACTTAGAGAACCGTTAGGTTTCAATGGTCTGAAACTTGTGAGAAAAGTTTTCAGGAATTGGAAACCCGATTCACTATTGCCCTAGTGTTGACCCTACCGGAGGGTACAAAAGGCTTTATTGTTTATTATGATGCGTCCAGAGTTGTACTTGGTTGTGTATTGATGTAGAATGGTAAGGTTATAGCCTATGTCTCTAGACAACTCAAGGTTCATAAGAAGAATTACCCAACCTCGAGTTGGAAGTGGTAGTATTTTCCTTGAAAATTTGGCATCACTATCTTTATGGTGGTCATGTAGATGTGTTCACCAATCACAAGAGTCTCCAATATGTTTTCAGTCAGAAAGAGCTTACTCTCACAAGGTGGTTAGAATTGATCAAGTATTACGGCATGAGTATCCTCTATCACCCATGTAAGCCTAAAGTTGTGGTTGATGTATTGAGTAGGTTGTATATGGGAAGTACATCAATGTTGAGGAAGGCAAGCAAGAATTGGCCAAATATGTACATAGAATTGCACGTTTGGGAGTCCGTTTGTTAGATTCCAATTACGGTAAAGTGGTGGTGATGAATGGGGATGAATCATCACTAGTGTCTGAAATGAAGGAGAAGCAAGACCAAGACCCCTTTTTGCTAGAGCTAAATGCAAATGTTTATAAGCAAAAAGTGATGTCTTTTGAAAAAAAGAGAGATGGTGTGTTAAGGTATCACGGTAGATTGTGTGTGCCAAAGGTGGATGAGCTCCAAGAGAGGTTCATAGAAGAAGCTCATAGTTCTAGATATTCAATCCAACCCGATTCCGCAAAGATGTACCATGACTTGAGAGAGGTCTATTGGTGGGGTATTATGAAGAAGTGTGTTGCATATTTCATTCCCAAGTTCCCAAATTACCACAAGTAAAGGTAGAGCACCGAATGCCCGGTGGTGAGGCTCAGAATATAGCTTTTCCGAAATGGAAGCGGGAGATGATCAATATGGATTTCATCACTGGCTTATTGCGAACTCGTAGGCAACATGATTTGATTTGGGTGACTGTAGATCAGATGACTAAATCAGCCCATTTCTTGTCAGTGAATACTACTAATTCAACAGAAGATTATGCCAGATTGTACATCCAAGAGATAGTCCAAATTCATGGAGTTCATGTGCCCATTGTTCTAGATAGAGGTTCACAATTCACCTCTCAATTTCGGAAATCTTTCCAGAAAGGTTTGTGTTCGAAAGTGAATCTGAGTACTACTTTCCATCCTCGGACTGATGGTCAAGAAGAGCGGACAATTCAGACCCTAGAAGATATGTCTAGGGCGTGTTTCATAGACTCAAAGGTAATTGGGATGACCACTTGCCTCTCATAGAGTTTGCTTACAATAATAGCTATCACTCCAGTATCCAAATAGCTCCTTATAAGGCTCTTTATGGGCAACGATCTAGATCTCTTATTGGCTGGTTTGAGGTTGGTGAAGTTGAGCTGATAGGGCCAGACTTGGTTCATCAACCCATGGAGAAGGTGAAATTATTCAAGAGAGGTTGAAAACAAACACAAAGTTATTAGAAATTCTATATATATGTTAGGAGGAGAGACATAGAGTTTGAGGTTGATTATTTGGTTTACTTGAAGGTGTCACCTATGAAGGATGTCATGAGATTTCGTAAGAAGGGAAAACTCAGTCCCCGGTACATAGGTCCTTATAGGATATCCAAAAGAGTTGGCAATCTAGCTTATGAGTTGGAGCTGCCGTCACAGTTAGCAACAGTCCATTTAGTATTCCACATTTCTATGTTGAAGAAGTACATGGGTGATCCTTCCATTATAGTACCTACTAAGAACATTGGTATTAAGGACGACTTATCTTATGAGGAAATGCCCGTTCAAATTCTTAATTATCAGGTTCGCAAGTTGAGAACCAAGGAGGTTGCATCAGTCAAGGTTTTATGAAGGAATCAATTTTTTGAGGAAGGTACTTGGGATGCTAAGGAGGATATGAAGAAGATATACCGACATCTCTTTCCTTCCGGAGAAATTCCAAACCAAGGTACTAACTCTCTGTAAAGTACTTTTAAGTTCATATGATGAGTATGTTAATTGCATATTGTATGCTTGGGTTGGGGTTGTTAGATGCTTCCCACCCCTGTTTTAATTAGTGTGATCTCATTCGAGGAAAAATGTTCCCAAGGGGGAGATATTGTAACACCTCGAACTACCATCAAGTTTTAATTATGGGTAAACTTCAAATAAACATATATTTTAGCACATAGAGAGTTAGGTGGCTTATGAGATATCAAATCGAAGGTCTTGGAGTCCTCTTTCCAACACCGCTTAGTTCACTAAATTTTGAGCTCTGAGTAAGAAGTTATGGTTATTTGGGTGAAGCCTCTCTAGTTAATGCTTTTCATCCATTTAAGGAAAGGGTATTTTGGTCTTTTCCTTACCCCAATAGGCCTACCCACGTTTTCCTCACCCAAGTTAAGGGTTTTATCAGACGCTATGTTAAGTTTAAACAACTTTTCTTTATATTGCACTTGTTTTAAACTGCCTTATATTGAAATGAGTTCCGTTATGTTGAGTTGAGTTGGGCTAGGTATGTTCTTCAGATTCCTTTCAAGCCTATGTTGTGTGTAGCATTCCAACTCGCATACTCGTACATTCAATGTACTGATGCCAGTTGGCATGCATCTTATTATGATGCAGACACAGGTAACTAGGATCGGCATCCAGCGAATTGTTGATCAAGTGAGCACTCAAGAGTCAGTTGGTGAGCCTCATTACCTTTCAGAGCACTCCTTTTATTGCTTTCAGTTTTATTATTAGTTCATTAAGATGTCATGAGCCTGTCCTGACATCCATCTCAGTTGTTTAGAGGCTTCATAGACAGACAGTGAGTTAGTTAAATTCATTTGTCACTACTTTATTATTGGCTTATGTTTTTGAGACTTGAGGTTGCCATTTTGGCCAAGTTGAATGTTGACTTTTAAACATTCTAAGTTTTGATCATTATAAATATGCATATAGTCTTCCGCTGAGTTAGTAAGCCAGACCAAGGGTTCGCTTGGGGCCAGCAATGGTTGTTGAGTGCCAGCCACGTCCAGGATGTAGCCTCGGGGCGTGACAATAGTGTTCCATTTGATTAAAATCTCTTGTCACCAACACTTTAATTTCTTTGTTCATTTTTACTTACATATATATTAAAAATAATTATTATTATGTCTATATTATCATATTATAAGTAAAAGTGAAAATCTATTTTTAAAATAGTGGATTTAACATCAAAACTACTGATTCAATGGACAACATTGATGGCCGTTGTTTTAGCAAAATTAGAAAGAAACTGCTTCATTTGAGGGTAAAAAAATAAAAAATAAAAAACGAAAGAAGAAATATCTTACCCAAATCATGTGACTTTTTTCCTATTTTGTATATTATTATTATCTTTCCCACAACTTTTCGTCACTATTAGCTCATGGAAATCGTAAGAAAAAATATGAGTGTGAATTTATGAATAGTTTGCTACAATATGTTCACCAACTCTTTCTTATATGGTATTTCGAATTTCGTTGAATTTTGAACTTACTTAACTATTGCAAATAAGCTTGAGATTTTTTAAGAAGAAGAAGAGTAGACATTTAAAAAATAAATTGTAGTTTAAAAGTGAGAGGAAAACCTTTATTTATAGCTAACAAATAGTAGTATGAACAGGTGCTAATTGTTCCTTATCAAAAAAGTTACAACCTTTCGAAAAAGTCATTGCTAATCAGAAAAATCACAACCTTTTGCAAAAGTCACAACTCATCGGAAAAGACATAACCCTTTGAAAAAGTCACAACCCTTTGAAAAAGTCACAACCCTTTGAAAAATCACAACCCTTCGGAAATTTCACAACTCATCGAAAATGTCAAAACCCGTCAAAAAAGTTGCAACCCTTTGAAAAAGTCAGATCTCTTTGAGAAAAGCACAACCCTTTAATATGAAATGGTATCTACATTTAATATAATATTAATAATTAATTTAATAAATAAAATAAATTGAGTTTTTTTAATTGGGGTATTATAGTAATTCAACATTCTATTTAGGAGTTCATGCTTTTAAAGTAGTATAGATATAGATATAGATACAGAGATATATATATATATATATAAAATTCAGATTGAAAAGTTTTTAATTTTTTAATCTTAAAATGTGGGCAAGAAAAATGGGAAGTCAAATGAACGAGGGATTTGTTGGGTTTTATATTATATTTTTTTTTTTGGTCTTTTTTTAAAAAATAAAATAAAAATCCTTTTATATGGTTTGTAAACATAGTGGGCAAGAAAAATGGGAAGTTAAATGTAACACCCCAAAAATTTTCAAGTTAAGCCCAAACAATTCTTGAATTATTTATAAGGTCATACTGAGTGACTCTTAATTTTTCTTAGGTTTTAAGGTAAATTTTTTAGCGTGAGAATGATTTTGGATATCAATTAAGGTCACTAAAAACTCCTAACATAAAGTTAAGTTGAAAGTTTCCTTACCGATTAAGTTTTGACATAACATTTTACTTAGGTTAACTTAAAATGGCCATCTCTTAGAATATAAAGAGTTACGTGGCCCATAACCTATCAAATTAAAGCTCTTTGAATTATCTTCTAAACTCCACCAATTTTGCAACAATTCAATTTTTGAGTAAAAAGTTATGACCATATTAGTAACTGGTGTAGTGCAGTTTCGTTTTAGCTGCGGGAAAATTCTAAATAAGGTGATTTTTTTTCTCCTTTTACCACTAGGAAAACCTTACAACCAATTTTCTTAACTCCTATAAAGCCCTAAACAATCCTATTTCCATCTTTTAATCCATCATTCTCTTCTCTCTCAAACCTTAGGGCAAAACACTATTTAAGATTCTTTCAATCTTTTTCAAGAGTCATTCCATATTTTTCAAGATTCTTCTTCAAGGTAAGTTTTTCTCCAAGAATGTCATTCTTTCCAACTCAAATTCCTCAATACAATTATGAATCACTTATAGAAATCATAAATCTTGACCATAGAGATTTCAAGAAACTAATTCAAGAATCTCAAGAAAGGTTTTTTTGATTTTTCTCCTTCAAGCTATGGTTTCAAGGATTCTAATCAAGTTCTTCTTCAAGATTCTTCAAAAACCTTGTTTTTGCAGGTATGTAAGGCTATCATAGTGTTGTACTAGTTCGTCCTAATGCCCTACTTATGCTTTAAGATCATTGAAAAAGTAATTTAGGATTCTTTCCCTAGATTTGAGTATTCTTGAGATAAGTTGATTTTGAGTTCTTGAGTTCATGTTTCTTTTAAAAAATTATATTCCTAAGTATTGAGATTTCATATTGTTATTGAGATCCTTGAGTTGATTTTTTCATGTCTATAATTCAGCATGAACCTTATTTTGAGTTATAATTGTTGAAAGTTTTTCAAATTCAACACTTGAGTTTCAAACTGAGATTTTGAGGAAGTAAAGACGAGTTTTGAGAAAAAAGTTTAAAGGTTCTATTTCATAAAGACTTAAGAGTATATATATATATATATATATATATATATATTATTGGACTTGAAAGATAAGTTCATAAGTGCATGTTTTCAAGAAGGTAAACACGTCTCATGTTTTGAAAAGTATTTCAAGTAATGTAAGAAGTCCATTTTTTGTAATGGATGAATTGAGCAAAAAGTTATATTAATTATTTTGGGAGTTGTATCGAGCACCGAGTTGGGTTAGATTCTTTTATGATTCGGAAGTCACATAGAACTACGTAGCCAGCGTAGGATAGGATAGCATTGATTCTTCATGCGACTCCTAACTACCTCTCAGAAGGCTAATTAGAGGGATCCATACTCACGATATCATCCTATACCCCCCACAAGGTATCATTGCTAGGCTCACAGTAATGATTTTCGGTTAGAGAAATTCTCCACGAGTAAAGTATATTATTTTCATGTTGCTTTCAGTGTATATTTTATTGTAAAGCTTAAATGGGTTTCACTTCATGTTCATGCATTGATTCAGTTGAGTTGCTTTCATCCATTCAGTTCAGTTATTTGTGTACTCATCTATATTACATACTCGTACATTCCATGTACTGATGTCATTCGACTTGCATCCTTAAATGATACGGATATAAGTGTTCATGATTACCAATAGGAGCTTCGTTGAGATCATTCTACACTCCAGTTAGCTTTGGTGAGCCTTCTTGTATTCCAGCGGACTTCAGAATTACTTTCCAGTTAGTATTTTTGAGGTGTCGTGAGTATTGTCCCGACATCCTTTCTTGATAGTAAAGGCTTTATAGATAGACAGTTTTGGAGAGTCTTTTAGTTTCAGATATTTTATTTAAAATTTATGTTTCATACGCAGTATATCTAGTTCAGTTTTGAGATTCAATAAACAGTTTTAAACGTTTCTTTCAATTTGATGCTTATGTATGTTCAAGTTTGTCTTCCGCTTGTAGTCAGCCAGGATGAGGGTTCACTTGGGGAATAACAATGGTTCTTGAGTGGCGGCCATATCCCAGGTGTAGGCTTGGGTCGTGACATTAAATGAACGTGAAATTTGTTGGGTTTTATATTTTTCTTTTTTTTTTGTTTCTTTTTAAATCCTTTATATGGTTTGTAAACATTGTCACATTTTTTCCAAAAATAAATAAATTGAAACTACTTTAAATTATTATCTTTTTAAAAAATAAATAAATTGTAGTTTATTATTAATTTTATTATAGATAATTAATAATCAATAAGTAATTAATTGATATTTTAAAAGTAAAAAAATAGAGATTGATTGTAGCGCTGACATGTACGCGCTATCATCTCTCCTATAATACATACACACAGACATATATATATATATATTGTTCCTAGGCCCAACATTTACCTGTTTGTGCACACACTTCTATTACCTATTTTAACCGAGAGAAAATGATGTTGGAGGGAAAAATTGATGGGAC